CACCAGGTCTTGAGCCAGCATAGTTATGAATTTAAATTGAATTTATTAAATTAAATTTGATCAGTTCCGCTCATAACGCCAGTTCGAACGTGTTAAATAAATGTTAGTATGGAATATATCCTGGAACACAGTTGAAGGACGTGTTTGTATGCTCTTGATGTGCAAAATACCGCTGTGCCATAAAAGCAAGTCTTCGACCTGTGAATAGTGCCGGTGGGTACGGAATTCGATTAGGTATCGACTCAAAACATGGCCTGATCATTCTGCCGCATTAGCAAGTACGGAATGACGCGTATCAAAGATCAAAACAAGGAATAGTGAGACAGGCGAGTGGGCAAGACGGCAACTCGGATCGATGACACGCTCCAGTTCGGTTTGTGCCATCGTTTACAGGAGGCTCGAAAACATGCAAGCACCTCGTAAACTGAGTATGGGCAGTGCCTTCACTGCGTTCTTCCATCCATCCGTCAGAGCGGGACTCAGTAACGCTCACTCGTTTTACTGACTGCTGCACCTGGTTCTGATTGTGAGCCATCTGTCATCGGGGTCAAAACGAAGCCGACCCATAAAACGTACGCATACGACAGCATTATCGTAGGTCCTGCACGCTCTAGCAGGAAAACAGCAAAATACCATTGGGGTTTGAAACGGTTTAAAGTGCAACGCAAATTGCTCAATTCTTGCGGTGATGCTCCCTCCCTCCTCGTATTAACTACCATGACGTTACAGTTGCAAAACACTAACGTGCCAAGGGACTAGAAATACACGGACAAAAAGAAGGCTGAATTGTCTGTGGCAAGATGAAGCTTAGAGTTTTGTACGCCGGATGCGGATAAGAGAAGTGGAATATAACATCCGGGTTAGGAAAAGCGCTACGTCAAATGCTGATGACAATCACGCGCCAGAGCGTGGCCATTGACTGGAATAAGTTTGCGAGGATGTGCCTGTCGCGTTTCTGGCTATGTCATGCAAGGCGCAAGCTAAGGCGAAAGCTAGGGCGAAAGCGAACCTGTTTGGCTGTGACTTGCGCAGAAGTGAACTTCTTCACTCGTTCGTAAACTCACTCATTTCTGAAGAAAACTTGTCCGCCAGTTCGTCATAACGACACACGTCAGCCAGTGACGGTTTACCGAGTCCGAGTCCAAGTCAGCAACGCTGAGGTTGTTCGAGTTCATCGGCCGGCCTCGACTTTCGTGCCTCAGCCGTCAAAGCATCAGCGAGCGAGTCTGTCGTCTGTCGTCTGTCGTTCGGTCGATCGTCGGATGTGCAGACGGATTTCGGACCTTGCAGCCGTTGTTCAATTAGCTCGTGCATTTTAGCACGTGACTGCTCAAAATCGTTGCCTTTCTCCCTCGTCGTTCACGTGTGCTTCTCTGGCCATGTTTCACTGCGGTAATGTCTTTCAACGCTACGTCTCGGCATATGCAAGCAGAACACGATTAAATGCCGTCGCGTCATGCCGTCCATCCGGTTAGAAGAACGGAATGGAATTTCGGTAGTAGTACGAGAGCGAATGGCGGCATTTTTCCAGCCAGGCGGACACAACTGGAATCATCGGGCAAACGGTGACTACTGGCCGCTGTGGTGCGACCTTTAGTCCGTCTGATGGACAGCTGGTAGCCTTGGTCCACCTCGCTGGTCCCGTTGCGACGAGCTGCTCTCGTTCTGCATCGGCCGTCACAACCGCACCACGTGCCATACCATAGCTGCCGCCACTGCGACGCGGCAAATGCCAACCAATTAATATTAATGGTACATTTTTTTCATTACCAGTCCCTTTGTGATTTCGTGCTGCGTTTGCACCATATAAATAATTGATCAGCGTACTTATTGCCGGTCGTCGCAGATGGTGAACAGAAATCATGGCCGGTGTGGGTGTGTGTGTTTGGCGATGCGGTGCATGTACATTCATTTC